AAAATTTAGACAGAACTTGGTGGTGTTCACTTCTGCACCCATTTGTACCCGGTATATTCTAGACAAGAAATGAGTTTTAGATGAATAAACGAGAGAATAAATGTATCCAATTTACAAAATACACAAAACTTAATAAGTTGCCAAATAGACTGACTTCTAGTCTCACTGTTCTAGAATAACCATAAGATAATTTATGAGCAGACCATAAGCTTCCATCAAAACCTTTTGTTTGTGCTCTTGCAATGATGAGTGAGATCCACTGAACAATAGATGGTCCCACCGAGTAACTTAAATCTCTTTCCCTCTCAGAGTAGTACTTATAAAACGGAAAGACTATCTCTGAGTTGGGAAAGGGGCGGGGGGGGGGGGATTCAATAAATGACCCGCATATATTTGCATATGTGTTTGTGTATGTATATAAATTGGTACAGAACTGGCACACAACATGATTTTGATTCTTTGTTTCCCTTATTCAATCCAACAAAGGACTAAAAAAAATATTAAGTCACATCTCCAAGTCTTTCATGTGAATCTGCTTACTCAACATTCCAGGTCCACCACGGCTATTAGATTCATGTCTTCAAATCCAAAAAATTCAAGTGTATTTACATCAGATTATTTCATCCATGTTACAACTAGTAGACCACTGTTTTAGGTTACTGTTTCAAAGCTGGTGATATTCCTAAAAGTGAACTTTAACATGGTTCCATGTCTAGACAGAGTTCTAGCGACCCACTTCAAGTACTCTTGAATAAAGCACAGGATTGGTAAACAGAATAACAAGGAATAAAAAGCTTGCTTCTGTTTAGAAGCAAGGCACATTGATAGAGAATGTCACTGAAAAAAAATAATAAAAGCAGCTACAAAGCAGTGAAACAATAGCTTTGGGCTTTGGAATCAGACTGATTTGGGTTCTAATTCCCTTTCTATTGTCTTAACAGTGGCTATAAGCAAAGTTCTTAACCTCTCTCTGCCTTCATTTCCTCACCAGTAAACCAGAAATGCTAACAGTACCAATCTCGTGCGGCTGTTGAGAGCATGGGTCAGATAAATCTAGAAACACATTTTCTGAACTCAGGAAATGTTGGCTTTGCTTATTAAAATTCATTCACATCCTAGAGTCTTATATACATTTATAGATGAAAGTATTTAGAATGAAAGAATGGCATAAAATGATACATATCAATTGAGTAGCACTGGAGACAACAGATGCAAAACTTTAGGATGACTTATGCATCCTTTCATCAGAGGCTGGTAAAGGTCTTACATAGAGTATTATATGGCACGTGGGAAGTAAAGAATTTATGACCTTTTGAAAAAGAAAGGAAAAAATAAGAACAGAAAGACTAAGGTAAGAGAAAATTAAAACCTAAGGAATATGAACTTCAGCCTGTGGGCAATGAAGAATCCTTGCTTTGTTTTTAGTGTATGTGTGAGTATTTAATTAAATACTACTCCTACCACTGCTAAGAACATTTATTGAGCAAAAACTAAGCATGTTAAAATGTTTGTATACATTGTTTCCAATATAACACCTCAGTTTAGGTATTATTAGCCCTTTACACCCTGAGAGGTTAAGTCATTGGCGCACATGGTGGCAGAAAAAGGCAGAGTGGGATTAGCACCTGAGGGGTGAAGTCAAAGTCAGTGCCCTCTCCCCAGAACATCAGTGCAGAAAAACCTCCCTTGCAATAAAGAGCCAAAAAATAAGAGAAAAGAAAATTGAAACAAGGAACTAGTCAGAAGCAACATAGTGATCCAGAGTAAGGAGTTAAACATCTTAAGCAACATAGTGATCCAGAGTGCAGCCATTCTGAAAACAGAAGGCAGATACAAGAGAGGGAATGTGTTCATGACCTTTTCTTTCATTTACTCCATTTCTGTGTCATGTTCTGCTACCTGAAGTAGAAACCAAGTTAGTAATTATTCCAGTCTCTGTTCAAGCCCTTTTTCAAAGCCTGATTTGAATCCTTTTGTAAGCCCAATAGCAAACACTGCTGTCAGTATTGAGCTGCCGTGTCAGAGCTGCGTGTCAGGGCAATGATATAGCATCACCTTTTAATCTGTTGCCTGTATTGAAGGGTGATCATTCAAAAGAATAAAACTAGGTTACCACATTCAATAAATCATATTATGCTTGATATACCAAAAGCTTTAAAAAAAAAAACAACCTGTCAAATCAGGAGGACACATGCTGAGCTCTGATGAGCTCTCCAAATCCTACATAATTATTTAAGTTCATCGTCTTCTCAGAGATCACTGGTTTTATCAAATGGAGTGTGATATCAATTATCTGTCGGGTTGCTTTCTAACTAATACTCTAGGTAAAGCAGCACAGTAAATAAAGCAGTAGGAGATGTAGGCATTGTGAATGTCTTTCAAACCAATGTAAATTACAAGTGGCAATTACATTATCTCATCTTACAGAATCAAAAGTGAGAAGTTTTAATATTCATGTAAGGAGTTAAAAAAAAATCCAAAATATTTTTTGCATCAAACCTTAGCTACAGTCCTCCTCATTCAAAGGCAAACTTCATTATTTTAAGCGGAAAATAGCGCAACTTAGATATGCAGAAACGAATGAAAATTCATAGAATGAAATAGTCATGCTTATACACACATTTATACATAAATAGTCCTAACATTTTATAATATTAGTTTCAAACACCTAATATGTTTCTGGGAATAAAATTTTGAAAGATATGACACTAGAGAGTCCCTCATGCTAAGGTAAAAACTAAGGTTTGTGCATGACCTTCACCCAAAAAAGATATTTACTTTCATATGGTAAAACAAAACAACAATATAAACATTCTAATTTTACAGTTCTTAATTATATAATGATCTGTGGTTTGTGTTCTTTTAATCTGTTGGACTTAATTTTATTCCTATGTGCAAAGACATACACGAATACGAAAGAACTCTGCTCACCTATACATATTCAGACCCAGCCAGTTATCATAGAAAATTTAGCAAAGCCTCCTTCCTCTGAAGACAGGTTTATTACTATTTCATTACTCAGCATAAAGATATACCCACCTTAATAAATCAACCAGAACTTAGCTCATCTTTTTTTCCTTTCATCATCTGACACCCTCTGCACATCCAGTTCTACAAATAACTCCATTCACCTTTTCTTCAAATCTGACTGTTTCTTTAAGTATGCCAGATATTATCGGGCATAGTCCAGCTGCCTGTCGTAACAGTGGTTTACTGCAACTCCACCCTATTTCCACCTTCAGTCTCAACAGTGCATTTAATTTTTTCCTACTAGAGAAAAAAATCAAGATTAGGTGTTCAAATCCTTAAAGTAGTTCACTGAACTGTCACATTACCATTATTTAACCCCAGGGAATTTTTTTGTTTAATTGCCATTCTCTCCCTTCCCCCAAAGGACTATATCTTATTTTGATGTTGTAATGGAAAGCACTGCATTAAGGTACAGCAAAAACATAATGGGTTTAAATTTTTAAACATCTAACCTTTTCAGTAGTCACTGTTAATCATTTGCACCTGTGACTTTAATAGTCAAATTGGCAATTAGAGAAGCAAAATCTCCAGGAGAGAATTAGGTAAGTATGCCCCAGTCACAACTACTATCATATCAAGGAGAAAGGGGGAAAAAATCCATTTTTCATGAACATGAGGAAAGTTTTACACATTAGTTTCACCAAATCTTTAGGATAATTGCCAGCAATTAAAATTCTTCAACTTCTAAAAGTCAAGTTCTTTTTAAAAAAAAAAAAAACTTACTGTTTTTCAAATATTACAATTTTTACTTTCTCTAGCAATTTTTCAACTTTAGTCTTAAAAAAAAAAAGACTAGAAGGAGCACAAAACTAGGAGAAGGGGAAAACTAGTCTTTTATATCATTCTCTCTACTGAGAAATTAAGACATTTACACTGCTTTAACCATTTATTCTATTATGAAAAGCAAACTCAAGACTCAAGAGCACAAGAGGCAGTTATGCTGAAAATGGGATGGAAGTTGTTCTGCATCAACAAACACACAAGTTTGGAAGGTACAAATATGGCCTCTGTCAGTTGTGGCCCATCTTCAGGTAGTCATTTTCCTTGTGAGCAGAGGTTCTGAATCATGGAAATCTTCCTGAACTGCCTGAAGGCTGAAAGGGATTCCCTGTGAACAGCATCTGGACCACACCTTGTTTGTCACACAAGAAACCTATGAGTACCAGAGGAAAATGTGTCTGATCCAAACGTGAGGACAGGCTAAGAATCAAAATATGTCCCTCCATAATTGAATAGGAAAGGCTATTCCTCTAGTCCTGTGCTGCCAGTCCTAGCCATCAGCTAGCAGATGTTGGTCATTCTGTGGGCTGGCGAGTAGGATTTTGTGGTTCAGCAGCTGCCAACATTTTTTTAAAATCAGTGATGCTGTGGAAGCATCCATTTAGTGTATAAATATACTTAGTGGCATAAAAACACTGTCAAGTGAAATATTAGAGAACAAGCTCCCCACCCACTGCAGAAATGTCCCAGTGTCAAAGAATCTGGGATGAAGATTCCAATTACCTGTGGCAAAATTTGTTTTAGATTTTTTTTTTTTTAATCTTGCTTAACTGAGGAACCTACTGAGGACCCTCCCCAAGATAATACCCACAGTTCAGATTATTGGTTTACATTTACCTAGTTAGGGAAGGAAAAAGTGTTTGATAGTTACCCAGGATGCTTCCACTTGTGGCAGGAATGAACACCAAAAAAGCAGCAGGACACTCAACTCCTTAAGATGTATTCCTTCCAGAGGAATAAGGAGGGGGAAAAAAAGATCTCTTTCCCTTCCCACCTACACCCCCCACCCTCATTTCTGCCCTAGCTTTAGAATCAGCAGCCCTTCTGTGATTCGAAGCAGTTCCAGAGAGAATCCTTTATTTCATGGGCTCCCAGAGCTGACCCCGGGAAAGCCAGGTGGGCCATCCTTCTTGGCACCCTTCCACCCTCCACATCCAACCTCTTCCCACCTCCCTAGTCCACCTCCATACCTGATAATGTCGTCGTTGTGTCCCAAGAAGAATTTCTGGCTGTGCTCTCGGGTGTTGTAAACCACCCCGACCCCAGCCACAAAGTAGACGACTTCCTTGCCGGTCGTGTAGTACAGGTTGTTGCGGCACTGGTGACCCCGGTACCCGTACACCCACTCCAGCCGGAGCTGGCAGCTGGGAGCCGTCCGATCCGCCATGATAAGCCGACCCCACGCGCCCCCCGGGCCCCGCGCGCGGGTCCGCCGCCCCTGCGCGTCGGGTCTGTCTTCACCCAGGCTCTGGCTGCGGCGAACCTCCAAGGGCTCAGGGTGCAGTCCCGAGCACTGATTTCCGCGGCGACGCGCAGACACAGCCCCGCGCCTCGGCAGCCACCATCATCCGCCGCCGCCGCGGGAGAAGAGCCGCCGCCGCCGATGCGCGGCCGCCAGACCCCGCGGGCGCCCGGGCTCCCGCTCCCCCGGCGAGGCGTCTTCGTGGGCGCCAGCACCCGCGCGCACACGCCTCACTGCACCTGCGGGCTTCCGCTCCCGGGAGAGGCTCCTGGGGGGGTCACCCCGCCTTTAAATCAGGGATCTGCATATCCGAGAACCGATTACCCAGTTCGCTCACATAAGTTTGCAGGGAGTGCACGGTGGGCTTCGCAGCAGACAAGGGGATTTATTCTGTGACAGCTTTGATTTAACAGGGAACCCGGGTAAGCCGTGCAATCACCATCCTTGGAGCCGAAACTGACAATCTACAGCCAGGATTCAAGAGCGAGAAAGAAAGAAACAGATTTTTTTGCATAAGTCATCCAATCCGACAAAATGATACCCAAATTAAACCAAGTTGTTTTTTGTTTTTGTTTTTGTTTTTTGCGTTTTGTTTTTAACGTCCTATTCTCCCTTTCTCCCACCAGTTCCATCTCCTTCCGAGGTATGAAATATGCCTTAACTGCCCCTGGCTGGTGTTTGCTGATTTGGGGGGAAATTTTTTTTTCTGTTTCTCCATTAAGCCAGGGTCATTTTTTTTTTTTAAAAAGATGATTCAATTAGTTGTCATGTATGTGCTTAAAATTCCTATCCTCTGTGCGCCCTCTCTTCTCCGAGAAAGCCATCTAGAACTTAGCAGCTCTCACTAATTGGCAGCTCCGAGAGCAAACGTCGTAAAAGATGTTCTGAAACCGAGAAAACCACACACTAGTGCAGTTGGAAAGAGGAAAGCGCTCCCCACCAAACGCTCCCGGTCCAGGGGGAAAAAATAAATCAATGACAAGTGGCAAAATTCTCACAGCTCTCCCCAGGCGGGTCTGCGCTAGCGAGGGGGTCCCGCACACTCCAGGGTCAGGCCGTTAGCAGGGAGACAGCGGGAGCCGGGTCGTCCGCGGAACCTCCGGGGAAAGAGCTTCCCCCCAGACGCAGCCTCCCGGGAGTCGGCCCCAGGGCCACCCCCGCCACCCCGACGGCGTCCCGCACCCCTCCCCAGCCCAGGCAGGCGAGTCCCGAAGCACCCGCTCTTCCCGCCTCTAACCTCTGCTCGCAGCGGGCGCCGCCTGCACGTCCCGGTCTCGCACCCGCGAGCGACAGCCTCTGTCTGTTCCCCTCCCGCCTCCCGCTCCCGGGATGGGCTTCGTCACTGGGGCGCGGCGGGAGACAGATCGTCCTCCGCCGGGGCACCGGGGGCGTGGCCACAGCACCGCTTAGGGGAACCGAGACCGCGGGTTACTAGGCGATATCTGGGCGCTTGGAAACAGCGACGCCCCGGAGCGCTGAGGCCGCCCCTCTTCTTCCCCGCCCACGGGGCCCTTCTCTCGGCGCATCCTGGGAAATGTAGTCCTTTCGACACCCGCGCGGGCGGGAGCGCGCGGCGCGGGACCACAAGTCCCAGGCTCCCGCGCGCCCGCAGGGGCGCCGAAAGGCCGTTACCGGCGTCAGCGGAGCTTGCGGTTCTCGGCTGAGGAGGGAAGGGCCGCCCAGGGCGACCGCTTGCCCACGCCCGGCGTCCTCTGGCGACTGAAGCGGCGGGACGGCGCGTGTCTACCTGCGTGTGAGGAGTGCTGGAGCTAGACAGTGTCCAGGGCCGGTCTCAGTAATCTCTCCCGCACCGGCCCCTGAGGGATCCGGTCTTCGACATCTGTGCACACCTTATCCGACTGAAGCCCGGTTTGTTACCTACTTCAGTGTTCCTTTTTATACAGATGGATTCGAATTTGTTGAAAGTGCAGCGATACCAAATTTAAGAAAAATGTAGGGGTGTGGTCTCACTTTGCCCAAAGAACCTGAGCCTCTTGAGCTGCCTCCTAAATTCGAGGATTTAAGTAATATTTAAAGATAAACAGGTTTTGGAATTGGGAGCGTTCAAACGCAGAAGCCGGGAGAGTTTTTCCCTGAAGTGAACTACCTGAATTCCACCTAGTGATTTGCATTATATCCTTAAAATAATGATAGTCATTGATTTTTTTTTAAGAGAGGAATAACAATCAAAACTAGTAGTCATCAAAACATGAGTGAGTAGAGGTAGTGCTTGAGGCACCACATCCAGGTAATAGCAACGATCCAGAAAGGAAGGGACACCTTCCACAGAAGATGCAAAGGTATGTTGAGAGGAGCCTCCTGAACAAACAAATGGATGCAACAGGACATGTTCATTTCCTCATTTATCTTAATATAACTAATGGCCACTATGCTATACCAGATTGCACTTTGAAATGGGTTGAAGGAGTAAGTTCTGGGCCTGCCACTTAAAATGTAACTTTAGACAAATAACTAAATCCTCTAGTCTTTAGTCTATTCATTTAATAAAGCATGACAATCCTCACCAGGATAGTTGTGAGAAGGAAACAAAAGTATATACATGTACAAAGTTAATTTATAAAGCATGATGTAAGCATGGTTCTACCTTTGGACAAAAGCAATATGGAAAAGTAAGAGTAACACTCAACATAATAACACTATGTTAATATGATAAATAGCACTTTGTTACAGACACTGAAAATGGTGCTTTACATGAGTTAAACAGTATATTCTTCATTCCAATAATAATCCTGTGCGATAGGTACTATTATTTCCTCATTTTACAGATGAGGATACAAAAAAAAAAAGATTAAGTAACTTCCCTGAGGATGTATTTGAACTTAGGTTCCACAGTCTGTGTTCTTAACCACCAAGAATTATGAAAGAAATTGGTTAGATGATAGATCCAATTTCATTTGTGAGTGGCAAACTCAAAATAGCTGTGATTTAAACTTGATAAAATTTTATTTCTCTCAAAAACCTGGAGATAATACTGACCCCATATGATGACTCTGCTTAAGGAAAAACTTGAGTACTCAAGAAGGAAAGTGGGAAGAGGCACATGGAGCAGAAAGATGTGAAGAAGCTGCACTTGCTTCTTGGTCTTGGTTGAAACAGACCTGGGTGAGAGAACTATGGGGAGATTAACAATGGCAGCTTTTATCTTGATTTTGATTTTTCTCTTTTCCTCCCAGACTTGTCTGGCTGTTTCTGACCTGTTCCTATTGGGGACCACACTGTTACATTGCCAGTATGCCAACATTCTGCTCTATTATTCCTAGATGTCATAGTCCATGATAGAGTGCCAGCCATAACTTACACATTCCAGTATCTTTCAAAGATGAAGAAATGAAGGGCCAAGGAGTACGTGTTGGCTGCCTTTAAAAGAAAGATTCTCAAAAGCTGTCTCCAGTTTTTCCTGTTTACATGATAGTGGCTTGAACTTAGTTACGTGGTCATACCTAGCTGCAAGAAAACTAGGAACTAGTCTTGGAAAAGGAGCAGGGGCTCTTTAAGTCCTTATCCCTTTTAAGCCTGCAACAACCCCATCAGTGGATATCTTCATTTTAATGTGAGAAACTGAGACCCAAAAAGAATTATTTAACCAAGATTACATAAGTGGCACAACCAGAATTCAAGCTCAGCTCTAACTACAGAGCTACTACTATTAAATACTATCCATGTGCCTCCCAACGTAAGATAGAATATTTATTAACAATTGATAAGGAAAAAAAGCAGAATAAAACAAAATTAAAAAATTTTATGCCTCAAGTACTAAGGACAAAATGTAAGTTGAATTCATAAAAGTTCTCACTAAAGTACTTGAATTTTAAAAAGTAAAATGAGAGGTCAAGTGTAAAACTTGGATTATGTCGGGAATCATACTTTTAGAGAAGACCCTATGTATTACCTTGGGTCTTCAGCAGAAATAGAAAGTTTCAACAGGGCCTGCCATTCATCAGAGAACTGTGGAGTGAGGGATTAAGCCAAAATACATAGGAATGAGATACACTTTTGGTTACATGAAATGGGCTATGGAACTTGGCATTTCACAGGATGTCAAGTGGTCTGCGCCCTAGAAGAGGTTGTACTCAGTCCCAAAAGACCTCATCTTTTCCCTATTCATTGCTTTCCAATGTTAGGCTACAAAAAAAAAAGAAAAGAAAGAAAGAAAGACAAAAAGAAAAAACACAATACCCAGCCACCAAACTATGGTTCTGGGAAGACCAACTCATTTCCAGATTGGATGGGCAGAATATCAAGAAAAATCTATACATAAGCTATCAGATAGTTGGAAAGAATGCACCTATGAAACATAAGAAAGCACATAGCAAAAGCAAACCCAAACCCTGAAAGATAGGTTATATACAAAGATAGATGAAGAACCCCATCTAGAAGGAAATTTATGCCAAAGAAGCAGATTCTCTACCAAAGAACTTACAGTATGAATTTAAAATATCAAAAGCTTAAAAATGGACACTAAGAAATCAAGCTAAGAAGTAGTTGAAAAAAATAGGAACACAATTACAGATCTAATGAATACAGTTCAAGCAATATTTTTTTCTTTTTTAATTGTTAATTATTTTATATATTTTTTACATCATTTTTCATTTTTGTACAATGTATGCATTTTCATCTTGGTTATAGTCCCGTAAAATTCCCACGACCCATTCACCCGTAAGCTTGAAATCAAGTTGCCACTACGGAAGAAACTCTGGAAAGCATCACAAAAAAAGGCAGGGGTGGGGGTCGCCATGATCCCCACTCCCGCCCTCGCCGGGAGTCCAACGTGAAAGTTGCTGGTGGGCTGGGCTTCCAGGGAAACCGACCCGGAGCTGGAGCCAGAGCCATAGGCCAACACTAGTGGAGGTGGCAGCACCACCGAGGCTCAAAAAAAGGGGGGTGCAATTGTATGGGGAATATAGCCAAAATGAAAAT